TATGAATTAGTGGGATTAGAAGGGAGTGAGTTCATGGCATCACCGCATATGCAAATTTATTTATTTGGTATGATTGCAAAATTTGTATATCTTGTGTTGTTTGATGCATGACACTTTGATTAACTGTGATAGCTGACTTTGAGGGGTTTGACGGTACTCTACTGGGCATTAGAATGCTCATACCCTAATAGATTGTGCAGGATTAAAGAAGAAGTTTGAGGAAGCGGGTTCAACTAAGCTGCTGGGCTTTTATTGTTGATTTGTGTAATTAATATTTGTAAGTAATCAACCGCTTGTTAAATATCTTAGTGTGTAGTTAACTATAAGCTACTGCGACTCTGAATTTGTGTTGTTAAGTAAATTTGTATTATTTTGTGGCTCTATTTCTCATCATATCATAGTTGTAGGATTTTATTCTTATGACTATGGTATGACTCACACCATGATTCGGGAATATTCCTTATTTTCGAATCGGGTCGTGACACTCTACAAGTGGCATTAACAATAAGCAATGATGATTGGTTGCTAACCCTAAGTGGCTATTATTTATTATAAATAATATTAGTATTGTTTAAATTCTAAGGGTCTTGTTTGGGCTTAAAATGGGAAAAAAACCCCTTAATGGATTTTTTAAAGTACAAATGGGCTTTGGACCGCTTAAATTCATAAATAGAAAGACTTAACAATGGAAGCTCAAGTCAAACTAGAAACAAGCCCAGAGGTTTGATTTTCTAAAATAAGAAACCCTTGCCAGTAATTCAAAAGGGGCTCTACATACCCAAATTGAAACCCAAGTTGACTTCGGCAACTGGGAAGGAGTCAAGCAACAAAGAAAGGTTGAAAGCCATGCTAGGGCAGTTCATCGTCAACATAAGAATCAAAGCACTCAAGATTCACCTGTTTAACTCACAAAGAAAGGATTGGTAGTACATACTCAACCATCTCTTTACCAAGCGTGCAAATTCAAAATGACATTTAAATACAATATTTAAATTTTATTTTTATAAAAACATCTTCTGTTTATCATCTCTCTAATGGAGGTGGAGCCTATCAATACCATGGGTCCCATTTTTATTAGAGAGATGATACACAAGTTGGTCTCTCTAAAGATAGAGGGGAAACTCTCATATAACGGGATAACACTTTTTGCTATCCACAACTAATAACGTAATGACACGTATAATAACTTTTCCACGGGTCATTGTACTATTGATTAGGGTTAGCAAAATATTGCTAAAGGTGGTTTCCTTAGCATTTTCCCCAAAAAAACAAAAACAAAACAAAACAATATATGAGATATGACTCAATGGTGGTGGTAGTGATTGTGACAACGATGGTGATGCTTGTGGTGGCAGAGGAGCAAAATCACATAAGTATTTATTCAAAATAAGAACGCATTTTTAATGTATGCAACTTGAACCCATATATTTCCCTTATTAGCTTAAATAATAATAAAACTGAAATTAAAATTGAAACTCTAGTTGAGTCCTACTCATCACCTAGCTGACAGAGTACTACATGTTAGCTCTGTGTTAGAACACATTGGATTCGAATTACCATAAAGATTGTCTCTGGGCATCTCTTGTTGTGGACATAAAAGAAGCTTGGGAGGGAGTTGCAAGCATTCAACCTCTCCCTCAAGCATCTCTATAACTTTGTTCATCGAAGGACGATCGCTTGGCTTCAATTGTATACACCATAAAGCAGCTATAATCATCTTTTTTATTATTTTCTTTTCCTCTTCTGTAGCATCATCCATCTCAAACTCTTTGCCCATGCAAAATTGCTCTGAGACCCAAAGAGGAAAATAAATTTGGCTTGAATGCTCTATGGATGCGTTGAAATTCTTCCTTCTACTTGCCATTTCCATCAACAACATTCCAAAACTATAGACATCAGCTTTGTATGAGACACCTCCAATATTTTTGTAAAACAACTCAGGAGCCATGTATCCCA